GACAATTGAATTCCAAAATTCATTTGTTGCCCTCTTTGTCTTATTTTATTCTTTTTTTCCCCCCCTGTATGTACTCACCAAAAATATTTGAGACAGCTAAGTTTATTTGTAAATCACTCGTATGGAGTTTGGAAAATGTTTTCATATAGAAATAGTGGCGTGTGTGTCTAGGAGGATGGGTTCAATTGAATAACCGTTTGTTGAACAACCAGAATGTGCTAAACCCTGAATTTGACAATGAGATTCACATAGCAGTGAATGGATGCATAAGGTACAATAGGAGCATACAAGAAGGCTAGTCAGTGTATTGCAGGATTTTGCTAAATGGACCTGGTAACCCAACCTTCGTGCCCAACACATGTCACCCAGGTAGAGCTGCCTCCACCTCAGTCCTTCTTTCTCTGCCTCTAAAAGGCTGGCTTTGGCCAAGCCTAAGGGACACTCAGAAGGCTGGACCTGTTACCTATCTTGCATGTATCCTTTTCAGCACCTCCAGGAGGGTGGATATCTTTACTTCCTTTAATGGCCACTGACAGCTCCCAGGGATTGTCTTGAAATGCACTCGAGGAATCTGTGTGTCTCTCTCTACTGGAGTCTTTTCCTTCTGCCGTGGATGTGCCAGGAGACTAAGTCCTTTCCTGCTCTGCCTGGGGGCTGAGGGCATCACAAACCAGCCACAGTGCCTTTTAATGACTACTCTCTTTGTCAATAGCTCCATTTAAGTTATTTCAATTAAAAGTTTCTATTAGAAAATGTGGGGGTGGCGATAGTCATTGCCAACCTCCCACTACAGAGGAATTGTGCTGGGTACAATTAGAAGAGAAAATTATTTCTCCTTGATTAAGAAGTTCTTCGGCACCTGCAGGCAGTGTTGGGGCAGAGATGGAATTGTGGCCTGGCTCAGAGAACCTTATCACTTTACAAGGCTCCGGATGGACTGTGCTCATTCAGAAGCTCATTTGTCTTCTGAAAGTTTATAAATTAGATGCTGTGATTTTTGAGAATTACAGAAGTCTTGCCAATGATGGCATAAGATGGATAACACAATACAAGGGAGTTTGGCTGGTTCTTAAAGTGGAAACTGGTCTCTAAAAAGATCAGAGTGAGAAGTGGACTCTCCCAGTGGGACGTGCTATGGTAAGGGATCAAGAAAGTGGTAGGAGATGGGCCAAAAACCTGGCGAATTAAACATTTGGGGAAACAAAGGAACCAACTGCAAAACACAGAGCAGGAGAGAAAATAGCCCAGCTCATCTCAGGATTTCATTATAATTTGGTCACTATATCTGATTGTCAGAAGAGTTTTGCATGTTGCCTGAAAAGAAATTTTTTTTCAAGAATTACTGTGAGATGAAAAGTAGCTATTTAAAGTGGCACAGGTAGGCTTGTTCAAACAATGTCCCAAAGAAAATTTGGTTCCAGGAATCACAAGTGAAAGTAGACTTAAGACCATTAGTATGTGTGCTGTGATATGATTTTTAAAACATTTAAAGTTGGTGAGAATAACATTTCCAAATCAGTTGGCTTTGTCCTTTTTGTCATTATACTTCCTGCTTCATCCTCTGTATTTCCAATGCAATTAAGACCTCGTCAGAAGGCAAATGGTTCACTTGCCCCTAATTGGTTAAAAAATGTTTATGTTGTTGATATAACTCAGATAAGATACAACACCAAAAGGAACAAGAAATGTTTGGCACATGCACAGAGACTTCCACCCCAATGTGTGACCCTGATATTTGTTAATCATTTAAAACTTTTCCCCTAATATCCATGTACTGGCCCTCACATCATTTTGTCAGTGGCCTCTTTTGTCAGTTGCCATAACAGAAGCATCTGAGAAAGATCCAGAAATCTTTTTTTTTTTAAGCCCCATACTTGATGTTATAAACTTTACCATTTAAACAAAATCCCATATTTTAAAAATTATGTGTCATCCGTGGCTTCAGGAATCTTAGCATCTCAAGTGATATTCCAGGTCCAAGTTGCATAAAGATCAGCTGCTTGCTGTTCAACTCTGTGCAGTGCCTTGCACTATTCTCTAAAATGACACATTTGCCAAAGTGAAGGTGAAGTGCGTGCTATGTGCCCCCTGGGCCTGCGGGCTTCTGGAAGGTAACTGTGTCCTTTATTCTGTGGGCTGCTGAACCATAGATAGTGGCCAGCTCCTTCCTCTTTGTAACCGATGGTGGAACAAGGAGGAGGATGTTCTTTTAAAGACCCCTCCCTCCCACAGCCACAGTGCTGGGGAACTGGGAAGACGAGCGCTCGCAAGAACACAGTATTCACTCCTCCTTGGAGTGAGACCTGGTCTGTAGGGGCCGTGTCTCTTTTCCCCTCTGCACATCATGGCTCAGGGGCTGGGCAGGGTCCTTGCTCATTAACTATGGAATCAGCTGTCCGGGGTGCTGACAGTTTCCTTCTCCACCTTTCTTCTCTATGTTCCTGTCACTTGTGGCACCTGGTGCATGGTGTAAGTTTGTGCTTGAATCTGTGTAGAGTTCCTTGTGCCTCTGCGCTCTTTGACAGCTGGTTCTGTGGAGTGTCTGGGCCAGCTTGGCTCTCCCTCTCCCTAAAGAGCCCTGCAGACATCAGCTTGGCTCTGTGCTCATGCCATCTGCCATCAGCTTGGCCAGGAGGTGAAGGTGGGTAAGACGTTGCTCCGTGAGCCTCCTCTGATTCTTTTGAACTTTTTATCAGGCCACAGGGATGGCCCTGCAGGCTCAGAAATATGCTTGAAGAGATGCAGTCACCTCCCACCATCTGTGCCCATGTGGCCACTCAGACCAGAATATTGGTTCAGAGAAAGCATACCTCCTAAATCAGTAAGACATTTACTGTGGTAAACGGCTCCCTTTTGTCAGTTGCCATAGTAGAAGTGTCTGAGAAAGATGCTCTTAACAGCTACAGGGAAAAGGAAGTACGGATGCAGCCAGCTCCCAATTATCTTAGGGCCACTTCTCCAATTTGTGAGTTCCCTTGCTTTATAGTCCCCTCTCTCCTCTTGCTACTGTGTTCAGGATGAACATTACAAGGAAAGAATGTACACATTTCTTTATTTTGCTCTTGTTAAAAAAAATATAGTCTAGCCCTAGCCATTTTGGCTCAGTGGTTAGAACATCAGCCCAAGGACCGAAGGGTCCCAGGCTTGATTTTGGCCAAGGGCACATACCTCGGTTGCAGGCTCTATCCTCAGCCCCTGTCGGGCATGTACAGGAGGCAACCAATTAATATGTCTCTCTCGCATCAATGTTTCTCTCTCTCTCTCTCTCTCTCTCTGTCTCCCCCTTCCACTCTCTGAAAAGCAATGGAAAAAATATCCTCGGGTGAGGATTAAAATAAATAAATAAATAAATATATATATATATATATATAGTCTAATCAGAAGTCTGGAGGAATTGGGGCTGAAACCTAAAATTAGATTTGGAGATTACCTGTGGATTGTATTTCTTGCCATCATAACTAGAAACACTCCATAATGGCTGTATACTTCCCTATTCTTGCTCAGGAAGATTTATCTTCAACAGAATGAAAGAGGGGATGAGGGGATTTTGCTGTTAGCTTCTCTTCACAGGACTTTTCTAGAGACTGAAGAAACTTTGACCTTAACAATCAGTGCATTCCAGTGGAAAGAGCTGGGATAAGGGTAAGACTGACTGGTTCATAGCTGCTGTATAGTGTCAGAAAATGAACTCTGAGGCTTGTTTTTCTCTCTGTCAGGTGCAGGTGAGGGTAATTGTCAGAGCTGTTGACAGATTACAGTAGAACATGTAATGAATGTAGAACATGTTTATGAATGACTAGCATGAGACCCAGGTCACAGCAGGCACTTAGTTTGGGTAAGGTCCCTCTGAGTGTGCTGCCCACTTTCCTGCTGGGTGCTTTGGGCCAGTTATTGCTCTCTCAGTCCCTCTGTGTCCTCACCTGTAACTTGGGGATAATGATGATAAAGATAATTAAGCTGTTCCCCCCAGTGACAGTGGGGATAAGTAAGGTAATACATCCCAGGTCCCTAGAAGACAGAATTCAGCCCATGATGAGTGGCTTGTAAGCCATTGCTACTTTTGGTTTCTGTACCCTCTTAATTTTTCTGGAAAGTCTGTGCTAGAGACACCTCAATCAGATATATTTGGGTAAAGAGGAAATTTTGCTTGTAAAGATTTACTGTCTTTTCTTGTACAGTATTTATTTACTCTTTGCACAAACATGTGTAGCAGACACTGCTGGGTGCCAGACACTGGGTGGGTGTCCAGCACTGGGCTGTCACCACAGGGCCAGGAACAGGAAGTGAGGGAATAGTAGAAAATAAGCCCAAACCCTGAGATGGTTGACTCCTGACGAACAGTGGATTAGAACCATGAGGTGTGATGAAATAGCATTTTTCCTTTTCACTAATGAGAAAATGAAATGATGGTACTGAAAGATAACCCACCCAAAATCATAGAGGATGGACTAAGAGCAGGCCTAATGCAGGGTTCCCGAAGACCACATTGTAGGTCTAACCTCTACTCAGTTGTAAGCTGCATGAAGGCAGAAGGAAGCGCTTCAGGTTGGTGTCTAACAGCACCTAAAAAGGCCCACATTGTGGCCAGAAATGCCTCCTTGAATTGAATTGGTTTGAGGGGAAGTCATATCCCAGGCCCTAAACAAAACATACCTTTCTCTGACTCAGTTTGGTCTGAACTTAGTGCTTAACACAACACTGACATAAAATAGTCACCTATTAAGTATTTGTTGATTGGTTGGTTGTGTTTGATTGATAATCTCTAGTTACACATACACACACACACATACACACACACACACATCCTCATTTTCCTCATTTTTTTCTTGTTAGAAAAGCCAACAAATAAAACAGGTCATCTAGCTCTACTCAGTTTTTAAAATCACAGATAGTTCAGCCCAAGTAGCAGAGTGAAAGAAGGAAAAACAAACCTAAAAAAATGTCTTATGTATCAGACATTTAAATTGTCAGGCTTGTGTCTCTCCTTTGTGATTTCACAGCTCCTGAGGTCCTTGCCCAGAAACCTTACAGCAAAGCTGTTGACTGCTGGTCCATCGGGGTGATTGCCTATATCTTGTAAGTATTGCTTGCCACCTTGGCTTCTTTTTTCCCTTTTTTTTATTGTGGCAAAATAGACATAATACAAAATTTACTATTTAACCACTTTTAAGAATACAGTTCAGCAGTGTTAAGTATATTCTTATTGTTGTTCACCCATCACTACCACCCATCTCCAGAACTTTTCATCTTCACAAATTGATACTCTGTCGTCATTAAACGCTGATTCCCCATTTCCCCTTCCCCCAGCCCCTGGCAACCACCATTCTACTGTCTGACCCTAGGAAGCTGACTGCACTAGGTTCCTCATGTAAGTGGAATCACACTATTTGTCCTTTTGTGTCTGGCTCATTTCACTTAGAATAATGTCCTCAAGGTTTATCCATGGTGTAGCATGTGTCAGGATTTTATTTTATTTTATTTTAATTTATTTTATATTTTATTTTATTTTTTTGAGGCTCAGTAACATTCCATTTTGTGTCTGTACTACATTTCGTTTATCCATTCATCCATCAATGGACACTTGGGTGGTCTCCACTTTGGGGCTACTGTGAATAACGTTGCTATGAATATAGGTGTACAAATGTCTGCATTAGGCCTGCTGTCAGTGCTTTGGGTGTACACCCAGAAGTGGGACTGCTGGATCATATGGTAATTCTATGTTTAACTTTTTGAGGAGCCACCACCCTGTTTCCCAAAGCAGCACCACCGTTTCTCATCCCCAACAGCCATGCACAAGGGTTCCAATTTCTCCACTTCCCTGTCGGCACTTGTTTTTTTCCGTTTTCTGATCATAGCCATCCTCTTGGTATGAAGTGGTGCCTCATGTGGGTTTGATTTGCATTTCTGCTGCAGCAGTGATATTGAGCACCCTTTCATGTGCCACTTTGGCTTTTCTGGGGATGCACACCACTATGAGATATTAGGACATCCCTAAAAGAAATCACAATGAGAAAAAAATGGGATGAAAACCAAAATTTAGCCTTTGATTCCTCATTTCTTCTCAGCTTACTTATTGCAACTGCCCAGAAAATGTGTTCATAGGTCATAGGCTTAGGTCATAGGTCATTGGTGCAGTTATTTCAGGATGTTCAATTTTGGTTTTTATTGTTTTATTTTGCTTAAGTCCACTTATAAAGTTATTTTTAAGTTACAATGTCTTTTTCCAACATTTATTATCAAACATACTTTTAGGGTGGGTTTAGGCTCACTAGTTTCTGTAATTGATAGAAAATTAATTTTTCCTCCTCATTATCCTCAAGAAAGGGAACATTTCCTAGCCAACAGAGCCCACTGCACACAGTGAAAGACTGTGATCAGAGAAAAGTCTAACAGTATATGTCATCTTCAGGCAATGCTGGAAACACCACCAACACACAACCCCATGTGTCTCATTACCTGAGAAGAAAATGATCTTTCTATAGCATACATTCAACTGGGCAGCTTTTGTAGATGGCTAAAAGGAAAGAAGGGGGTGGAGGGGTGGAGGAACCAGTTTAGAGGAGTAGGTGAGATCAAGAATTTCATTTGGGGCATGTTAACGTTGAGACCCCTTTGAGATATCCATGGACTAGTGTATGCACATGTGGAGGTCAGAGGTCTAGGGAAGAGATACTGGCCTATGATTTGAACAGTACTACATCCAAATCCTTATAATTACAGTATACAATACAATGTTTGACTGGATTCAGGTATAGTACTAAGCAAAGAAAAACTGTATTTCTTTATTTCTGTTTTAAGTATAAACTTGATAGTTACTTGGTCATTAGTAGCTTTCTCTAGGACTTAGTCTCAGGTGGATTTCATGACTGTGTCAGAATTGAAAATGGCAGCCTGGGCTTCTGTTTTCCCTGGTGCCTTCTAGAGCTCTGAGACTCTCAAGCAGAGAATGAATGGACTTTGGACATCTCAGTTGTACCTTCCAGTATGTTCAGATCCTTGAGTGATAGGCCATATCCTGGAGATAATTTGCTACATAATATGACTGTGCTTGAAGAACCACTCATCTCGAATTTATCATTATCAGTATAAACAAGTAGCATTTGTTGAGTACCTTTTCTATTCCAGGCACTGTGCTAGGTGCTAAAGATAGCAAGATGAGAAAGACACGATACCTCTCAGCAGAGTATTAACAAGGTAGATGGTGGGACAAGAAATTCCATGAACATATTAAGTGACATGCAGGGAGACTTGTGTACAACTGTGGAAGTTCCTGGGGTGAAGCACCATTGAAGACAGGGGCATTCAGGAAGGAGGAGGCACCATTCCAGGTGTGTCCAGAAAGCTAGAGAAAACTAACATGAGCAAAGAGGAAAGAAAAGAGCATCTGACCAGGGGAGCGATGCAGGCCCTAGAACGGGTGCCTGAGGCATGTTCAAGAGCTAATGTAAGTTCTGTGAAAGGACTGTAGTTGGTGTTCCTGGCACAAAGCTGGCTCTGAGTTGACCAAGTGTTGGAAGTTAGAACTCATGGGTGTCAGTCTCAGACTCTTACTACTTCCTGCTGACCCACTGTGCCTGGTCTCCCCATTCTCACCCTTCATCTGAAGAGTTACCAGCACTCAGTACCTGGGGAAGTCAGGCGTCCTCTGGGGATCCCTGCAGAGGTCCTCATTTTTCACGTCACCTGGAATGGAGAAGTGGTTAGCCCCTGCAGGGTTTTGGAGTGCATTTTCATTTGACAGACCTGTCATACTGAGATACTAGACTGCAGCAAAGGTGGCTAAGACAGGCCACGGCGCCACCTGTTTTCCTCTCTGCATGCCATGCAAACGTTCCTCATTTTGCCGGTGCAGAGACTTGATGAATTGGTTCTGTTAAACTCCACCCTCATTTCTTTGTTGTCCCTCATTTGGAAGGAGAAATATTTTTTCCTATCAAGGGTACTCATTTTTTAAAGCACATTTGATGGGTCCCTATCCTGCCAGGAATCTCCCTGCAGGGATCAGGACTTGCTTGCCTGCAGAGCTTAAGCTACCAGGAAGGACTGAGCATGGGGTGTGCTAGGCACCCCGACGAGCAGAGTGGCTCCACCAAGGCAACAAGTTCCGAGGAAATAAATGTCCCCACTTAAGCATTTCATTGAACCAACTCAATTTTATGATTGCATATAGGCTGCCTTTCTCACAACTTCAAGGAGATGGTTTAATGATCACTTGCCTAAATAATGCTCAGGAATACAATGTGCAACAGAGAAAGGCAGCAAAATTTTGCTGATGTAAAACACTGAGGAAGATCCTAAGGGGATTAGGCATTAGCATGTTGGGATAGGCCAGATGGTTAGGGTGTACTTGCCATGGGTGGTGATGGCACTTACCCATGCTTTGACCTCTGACCTGTGTGCCCAGAAGAAACTCCAGGCAAAATACTATGGTAACCCCCTTAGTTTTTGACTGGCCTCCTATATTCAACTTTTAAAACTAGGTCGCATAAATACTGGTTCGCCAGCATACACAGAATAATTACTTTTGTTAGGAGTGGAGCTGAGAATGCCTGATCTTCATGCTATATCCATTTTCTGAGGCAAAAGATGGTCTTCACCAAGGTAGTCACCATTACTTTCCCACACTGACAGCTGCCTTTTTATAGATCCACATGTCCTTGGAGGAGAGCATGAGCCCATGGTATGATGGCCGAGCCCCAGCAAAATAACCAAGCCTGAGGGTTATGATGGTTGGTATGAGTGTTAACACTAATAAGAATAATTAACTGGCATTTCCAGCAGGCAGCAGTCATCTTGTTATATTCAAAAGCTTTGCCACGTGGGACACATGCCTCATTCAGCCCGCGTGAGCCATGGTCTGGACTTTGGCTTTAGAAGTTTAGGAACTAAGTTGGATGCTTATTCGTCTTGATCAGACACTCCCAGTGAATTGGTTCACCCTAGCCAGACTCAAAAGAGATTTGAAGAAAGCAACTGGAGTGTCAGTTCACTAAATCATAACAAGACCTGTGTCCGGCAAGGCGATTGGAGATGCATGTCATCACCCTCGCATGTTCTCTGCCTGGTAGGAAATACTCCGTGAGAAAGCAAATTAAGACCAGAAGTTTCCTTTAAGAACAAGGAATTGGAGCAGTGGAGTCAGATGGCCGTGGCTGTTTTCTTGGAGCCTGTAGTGGTCCCTGCATCACCCTTCTTACCAAAGGGTATTGCTGTCGAGCAGCACAGCTCTTCCTGTTGGCTGGGCAGAGTGGCTGCCTGCTGATCAGCTCTTACACCCCCTTCCTCCTGCTTTAAAGACCAGCTATTTCCTTGTTCTAGCTTTATCGTTTTTATTTCACCAGGCACTGATTGCTTGCTTGTTATAATTCTAGGTTTACTGATTTGATTTCACTGGCTGCATTTCAGTGTGGCTGCTTTCCAAGGGTTTTCAGAAAGGTGCCTAATCTCCCCTCCACCTTCTATGCTGAGTGGACCCTGGTGGCGGTTAGCTGCCTTTCTTAGCTTTAGTGCTTCTTGACCAGATTTCAGCTTCCTTCCTGGCCTGTGACCCTCTCGCCACTGCTTCAGGGGAAAGACTTTATTAGTTGTCTGTTGACAGCTGGTTCACTTCTAACCCCTTAGGAAATAGTCAAACATAAAATACTCTTTGGGTTCAAAAAGTGAGTACAGAGCTATGTGAAGTGGTGATGGAGGGAATTTTACAAGCTGTGCAATTGAGATAAAGTCAGTCTGCATTTTAGATGATGGTAAGAGCAACTTCCTGCCAGTGATTTCAGGGAAGGTGGAATGCACCAATTTCTGTGACTTTGTCTTTGCAAAGACCCTGGGGTAGAGAGAGTACCTGGAGGGAGAAGCAGGAAGAAAATGTCTATATCACTTTCAATACTCTGAATGGTGCAGCTTCACACTGGATAGAAAAACATTTCACCCCCTCTGCTCTCCTGTGTTCATCTCAGCATCATCTCCTGGAAACTGTCCTTTAAGTAGCAGCTAAATGCTTCAGAATATTTATCCTGGAGAAGAGAAGGCAGGGGATTGATGTTCACTCACATAACTAACATTTATTGAGCCCGATA